TGGATTCTGCCGCCCTGCTCGGCCACATTCCTCTGAGCCATATTCAGCACGGGATGCTGTTTCTCCTCAAAAACACACCCACGTTTCAAACGGCATCACACAGACCGGAGCACAAAAGGGCTTTTTGGGTCGGGACACGGTTCAGAAAACACAGGAGACAGAGTCTGTGTGCGAGTCGCTCTTTTTTACCCTTTTAGTGGTAAAAAAATAAAAAAATAAAATGGCTTTTAGACGCAGCTGAACAGCAAACAGAGCCAATGACCGGACCCTGTCTGGCACTGTTGATGCCATCACTGGGTTGTTTGAGGACTAAAGTGTTTTTTATCTGGAGGCCGACTGCACAATCACCCTAAAGAATGGTTAGATAACAAAATCAGATCAGGTCTGGGCAAACATTTGGAGGGGGGAGGAGGTGGTGGAGCTGGGCTGAAGCTCAGGATGCAGCTCCAAAGCCCCCAAAAAGCCCCCAAAATCCTGATAAGTCAAAGAGGATACGTCAAGGATGCAGAACAGCAACCAAACAGAGAAAAAGGAGGAAGTTTAAAACATTTTTTCCCCAAATCCTCATGGGAAATGTGAGATTCCTACCAGATAAATGGCCCTTTCCCATAAATAGCTCCTCATTTCTTATGATAATTGAGTTCCATCTGAGTGTGTGTGGTGTTGTTACAGGATGTTGCCCCCAAAGGCCTGTGATGTCATCAACATGAGACACGAATTAGACCCAACAGAGGAGGAAATGTGCTGCTCCTCCTGTTGGTCTGAGTACACATTTACCCCACTAATGATGCCAGGAATAATCGAATCTCACAGTCTCTATCGGGTTTTAAAAAAACGACTCATCCTGTGATGTCACTCCCCACCAATCAGAGGCCTGCATTCTGCAGCAGTCACACGTTCAGCTCTGATCAGCTCGCTTTGAGCCTCAGAAGAGCCGAAACCTGATGGGAAATCCCCCCAAAAAAGCCCCCAAAATGTGGAAAAGGGCCAAAAGTGGAGGAGCTGGGGGCCCTCCACCTCAGCCTCCTGCAGGCTAGGAGCTCCTTCATGTCCATACATACGGAATACAGGGGTATGGTTTCCCTTCTGGGATATACCAAAGTATCATTAAAATTTATTTGCTTTAACTCAAGAGCTCAGAATGTCCAGATTTATATTTATACGTGAAAAAAAGGAGCAGATTTCTGTGCAGTTTATGAATAAATTAAACCAGACTCAGGGATGTTGCATAAGGCAGAGCTGAGGTGTGTGGGAGTGGGGGGGGGGGTACAAACCTTGATGAGATGCTTGTTGACCCATTTTGTGAAGGTCTTCTTCTGCACCCGGTCCCGTTCATCTGAGGAGCAGAGAAAGAGGGAGGAGGTTAGTCACTCCATCAGGACCCACAGGCTTCGGCCTGGTGGAGGCAGAAGATCTGGAACAGCTTCATTTCATTAGCTCTGCTCCCACCGTTCCCACACGGAGGGGGACCGGCCTCCAACTCGCTTTATCTGCGGTGACGCCACACAAACTCCGATACAGAGTCGATTCTCCGGGTTCATGGACAGCAGCTCCAGCTCTAAGAAGATAATCCGTCAGCGGAGCAGACTAAAGCCGGCAGCCTGCAGGTTTCAGGCCCTTCAGAGCTGAAGTGGCCTTCCAAGAGTGGACAAACGGGTCCAAACCCCCCCGTCGCGCCGCATCCAACAGGTTTCTCACCATTTTTCTGTCTCACAGCTTTATAGATGAAGTCCCTTTTAACTGCAGTTTAACAAAACCTGGCTGTTTGTTGTTGTTTTTAAATACAACTTTCTCATACTGACTTTTTCAAAATGCTAAACAGGATCAAACTTCTTTCCTTTTAGTTCGTTTTGAGATTGTTAAAAGCGTCTTTTTTGTTTGTTTATGGGGAAATATGCTTGTTTCTGGTCCCAAAGTTAATACAAATGCTGTTTTTGGTTGGCTGCATCAGACAGAAAAGACCACAGAAAATGAACCCCCTTCTCGTTGGGCCTTCAGGAGCCTCTAACTGAGGCCAGAGCTCCAGACTGCTTCCTCCACAGGCCGGAGGAGTGAGGCAGCCCGACCAGAAATAGAGCCTGATGCTGGGCCACAGCCATGTTTTATCTCCCTTTTTCAAGGACTCTCTGCTCACCAGACTGAGATCTGCCCAGTTTTCAGCCAGCAGCTCTTTGGGAGTCCTCAGAAATCCTGTTTCCTGTCAGTCAGACTGTTTTGTTTTGTTTTTGGCCTTTTTACTCCATCAGCTACAGAAATGTAACAAATGATGTGTCTCTGTGACAGGCTGCTGCTGACAAAGAGCCTAAAGATCCACTTTAAACTGCTGCTCTGCTGATTGGACACAACGCTGGCTCAGCCCTTGAGTTAGGGGAGAGAAAAAGGCAGAACAACTCTAGAAGCTGCAGAGCTGTTACTTGTTTTCTTGAAAGAAAAAGCAAATATTGTACAAAAAGAAAAGCTGGAATATTTTGCTTGGGTCATCAGGAATGTAAACAAACCAGAAACAAGGACCTTTGCAGAGTTTTTGTCAAGCAAACCCGAAAATAAATACTAATCATAAGCTTTAGTAGCAAAAAAGGAAAAAGCCAGAGCCTGAATTTCCCTCCAGAGCTGTTTGCAGCCTATCAGCTCCTCCCTTCCTGCTTCAGTTAAGCAACGACACACATCACACATCAATGGCAGCATCACTTCCTCCTTAAGACGCCACAGAGACAGCTCAGCTCCGGGGACACAGAGTGAGGGTTTTCATGGGGATGAAAGTCTGCTGGGGCCCTATGGCTGGAGGGGGGGGGGGGCAGGCCAGGAGCGAGCATTTCAACACGCTGCTGCTGCATAGTTTCACCACCCAAACACGCCTAGAAACGAAAACCCGCCGGAGGAAACACTGTATTCACACAGCTGCCGGTCCCAGAAGCCTTTACGAGCCTTTAGAAACCTTAGGAAGCATTTAGGAGCCTTTAGTAACCTTATAAACTTTATGAAGGATTTAGGGAGCCTTTAGAAACCTTTAGAAACCTTATGAAGCATTTAGGAGCCTTTAGGAGCCCTTAAAAACCATTAGGAGCCTTTAGGAGCCCTTAAAAACCATTAGGAG